ATATAAAAAAAATAAAAGTAGATAAAACAATAATCGATTCATTTATGGAATATTCTAACAAGTGGAATACATCCGGGGAACATGAAATTTTTTTAAATAATTTAAATAATAATTTCCATAAGTTTATCATAAATTCAAGCCCGATTGCGATCAATCGTGCACATATTTTCTTTTTGTTTTTCTTTTCTTTTTTTTTTGTTATAGAATCCAGTGGCCACGTCTTTCGAGATCTTCTGGATGATATTCGAACCGATCTTATTCGGTGTTACCGGCACGCAGATCAAGATCAGCGAGCTCGAAGGGAAAACCGTTTACCTCGGATTAGCTTGCTTGGTTACCGGTATCGTGATCCGTATCGTAGTGACGATCCTGGTCGGGATCGGTTCCAAGCTTAATCTCAAGGAGAAGGTGTTCATCGCCTTCGCGTGGATGTCTAAGGCAACCGTGCAGGCGGCTCTGGGGCCCGTCACCCTCGACGAGGTCAACAAGGACGATCAGCAACAGGTCGAGTATGCCGAGACATTACTGATGATGTGCGTGCTCTCGGTGCTCCTCACCGCGCCGACGGGTGCCATCATCATCTCGCTCGGGGGTCCGAAGCTGCTGACGAAGACCACAGCGCCGGTCAGCCCGCCGGAAGCTTGGAAAACGCGCAGGCCGTCGATCCGCGACATCTCGATCATCAACGAGGACCCGGACCTCGAGGAGACCGCGGACGAGAGGAAGCCCTGACGATCGCACTTAGTTCGCATTCAAAGTTCACAATCCGACAAGACCGAGTCTGCCAACGTCGTCCCCTGGCGTCTCGAGAGTGCCTGAGCGTACCTTTTATTTTAGCTACCCGAGGCATGACTTAACGTCCACAAGCTATATCTATATATCGATCGCTGATGAGATATTAAGATCGGCCATGATTAGGATTAATATCTGAGGATTAAAGTTGGCCGACTTATATTCAGGTGCTCGCGATCGAAAGTGAAGTAACCGAAGTAGTGATATCCCGGCGATGATATCACAACACTCGACATTTTTATACTGAACTATGTGCGGAAGAGTGATTTTACCGAGCCCGACGATAAATCGTCGACATTATATATAATCGTTTTATCATTTTAAGTGGAAAACCGATCCGAATTTAAGCGATCCACATAAAAATTTCTCGTATGAAAATGAAAAGCCAGTCGACGATTGGCCACATTTTGCATATCACAAAATTTAGAACGCGTTTATTTAAAGACTTTATTATGATCTTAGATTATGATCTTATTAAAGACTTATTTATGATCTTAGGATTTGGGAATCCGTAAGTTCGAAAATTGAAAATTTCATAAACGCCGTGATCTTGAAATCTATACTATGCGCACGCGCGTAATACTTGTTGAATTTATATTATAATTATATTTATTTTAATTATATTATAATTATGTATATTACATACGTTATATACA